AAACACGTATTAGATTTGTCCTTTTTTGTAAACGTTGCTATGCTTTGCACGTCTTGTTTATAAGATTTTTAAAAGAAACAGTATTGTATAATTGTATTGTCTAGGACTAGAGAGTAGAGCCCAATATCAGCAAATGTAAAACATTTGATACTAGCCAAACAGAGAAATGTCTGTCAGTGATTTATCTTTAAAATTTTGGATTTAGTACATAATTCGTATTCATTAATTATAGTAAGGCTTTAGCCTTTTTCTTGGTCAGATAATATTTTCCTAATATGCACACAACTAGGCTATAAATTATCTACCTCAGTAACCTCACAAATTTACAGTGTCAGTACAGTGTCAGACGCGCAGACTGCCATACGAATACACATAAATTTTCGAGTTTTCTACTTCTACTAAGGTTACTAACAGTTTTCATTGTGTCTCAATCATCTGTTATTTCTAGTTCAATAAGTTCATTTATATTTCTATATTTATTTGATAGTGGCATATATAGTGATACATGTAGGCTATTTACACACAAGCAATCCTGGATATGATAGAGACGATACAAGGTGTCCATTAAAAAATAACGGTATTCCATTTCACAAAGCAAAAAATTTAAATCTCACTTGTATTATTAAGAATATATATAAAGCAGAGAATTAAAGCTTGTGTCAAAACGAAAGCTGTTTATAAAATTTATAAATGTGGTATAAACACAATAGTAAACAGTAAGACAAATATATTGTCGTTTGACTTATCTTTGATGTATGACTTTACTGTAATACCGTAGATTTTCAACAGACAGCTAGACTTTGACATATATACCATGATCGTTGAGATCTTGCAGGAAATTTTATAGTCTTTTGACGGGATTTAAGTTTTGTGATAAGGCCTTTATAATCAACAATCTCGATACAGTTGGCGTCTTGGCCGTTTGGCGATATTTCGGAAATCAAAAGATCTCGCTATTTCGTTCCAATTCCACATCTCATCAATAAATATATTCTTTTAGTTCGAGTATCAGGATATACTTTAATACTAACAGTTAAATAAATATAAACCACACTGGTCGGTCTAGAGATACGAATTTTCTTGTAGGCTTTAAATTAATATTGCCACGCCGCCCAGGCGTGCTTTCTTTGGCAAGTCTATAAGTTGAAATCTGATCCAACTTGCTTGAATTGTAACTCGACACTAGATTATAGAGTAGAAAGTCACATCACGATAAATATTAATTTTTAATTGCAGTTCTCTTCACGATTTCTTGTTGCAAATTTAAATTTCATCACACAAAATTGCAAATATTGTTACAAACGCGACAAACACGCTCCTCTCCCACCCTGCCCATAGTATCATTTTAATTTATCACCCAGAATCTGGGTGACACGTGACCAGCCGAAACCAGGGTCTTTCCTTCGCCTCGCGCCGTTCTAAGAAAGACCCTGGGAACGAGGTTGCGGCCATGTTTGATAAAATCAATGCGGCCCGCACCCCCGGTTTGAAAAGTTAAATTTCTGAAATATTCAAAATTTGAAGCATCACGTGACCAGCCTTTACCAGGGCCTTTGCTGCTTCGCCTCCTTCCTCAATAGGCCCTGGGGACGAGGTTGATGATTTATTGTGTCAAAGGCTTTTTTTAGATCAAGAAAGACAGCAATGTTGAACATGCCACGATCCAAATTTGTATACCATTCGTTCGTGCTATGTAGCAATGCATCGGCAGTAGAATGATTTGGTCTAAATCCAAACTGATATTTCGAAATGATATTATTGGTATTTAAATAAGTGAATATCTGTCTATAAAGGATTTTCTCGAATATTTTGCTGATTGTTGGTAAAATAGAAATTGGGCGGTAATTATCGAGCAGATTTCTAGGCCCTGATTTATGAAGAGGGATAACTTTTGCTATCTTCCATTCGGATGGGAATGTTTCAGTAGTTATGGAATAATTAAACAAATTTGTTAAAGGCTGAGCAATTACAGGGGCGGCTAACTTCAGTATTTTTCCTGGAATTTTGTCAACCCCGGTAGCTTTTGAAGGTGAAATTGTTTGCAATAGATGATAAACTAATTGTGGTTCCACACTTTGAAAACTAAAGGCAGTATTTTTGGAAGCGGAGTTGTTCAAATATTCAGCAAAAGTACCGAATTACTATTTTCGACCGAATTTGCAACTTTGGCCCCTATGTCAGCAAAGTATTTATTGAAACAATCCGAGACTTCTTCGGGCATGACTACGTCTCGATCATTTACTTTTAGATTATTGATAATTGATTTGGGTGACTTACGATTTAAAATATTATTAATTGCTTTCCAAGCATGTTTAGGATCGTTATTCTTGTTAATTATATTTCGATGATAATTTTCCTTATCTTGACGTATAGTGTTAGTCACCCTATTTCGGAGTGTCGAGAAAACATTCCAGTCAGTTTCACGTTTTGTGATCATTGCTATACGTTTAAGTCGATCTCTCTCTCGTATCAAGTTTTTGGTATTTTGGTTTAACCATGGAATGTTATGTTTAGTTCGAATTCGTTTGAGTTTCAGCGGAGCGTGTTTGTCAAAAACATCCAGAAAAAGAGATTTCCAAAGAAACCACTTGCGATCAATATTTGATTCCTGATCGATGTGGTCCCATGGTTGATTATAAAGATCATCGTGAAAACTATTGCAATTAAAATGCTTAAAATTGCGAATTTCAATACTCTTATGGGAATGGGACCCCGCTATAGGTCCGGCTCTCCTTACTACATAAATAAGATTGTGGTCACTTATGCCCAGTGGAACAACGTCCGCAGAAACAACATTCTCCGAATTTGAGGTGATACAAACGTCTAATAAAGATGCGGTTGTTTGAGTGAGACGCGTGGGTTGGGTAATTATTTGAGAAAGTTGATACATTTCCATGGGTGACGTTAGTCGCTTGGTAACATGACTGGAAGAGTCCAACATGTTATAATTTAAGTCACCAAGTAGGTACATTTCCTTTTGCTCAGAATCAAGATTATCGAATAGATTTTCAATTTTGGAAAAAACATCTACGGAACAATTTGGTGGTCTGTAGAGAGTAGCGATTATGAAAGGCCGAGTATATGGTTTATAAACTTCGATACAAATAGCCTCAAGATTTTCAGGCGTGATATGATTCAGGTTGCGATAACTAATAGAGTTATTTACGAAAATACAAACCCCACCTCCGTATCGATTGCGATCAAAACGAATTATATCATACTTTGGAATACTTACGAGATCGTCAGAAATGGATCGATCTAATCTCGTTTCATTAATTGCTAGAATATCAAATTTCGACGTTGCGAGTAAAATACGAACCTCGTCTATATGCTTTGGTAAACTGACTATATTAAGCATGGCCATCCTGAAACCTTTGACCTTAGAAAAGCCAGACTCGTGCAGTTTAATTTTACTAACACTAGCCTGCATTACACATCAATTTGATAAATGACGAAGAAAATTTCGACTCAATAAACTGCTTCCTTTACGGTTTAGATGCAAACCGCGTCGATTTAAACAAGATCTGTCTACGTTGCTATTATCTATAAAACACCAATTATAACTAACACACATGGCATTGAGTCGCTTATTCGTCTCATTAAGTTTGTTTATTAGACTTGAATTATCTTGTCGAGTTATTAAACTAGAAACAGATATTTTCGTAGTAGGAGAGTTGGTATTAATTTGTAATGCAAGACTAGAAATACCTTCAGCCAGGCTCTGGGGTTCCATAGCTGCATCTTTAAGATTGTTTGTACCAATATGAAGAATAATTTCATCTGGTTTTCGACGAATAAGAGGGTTTAAGTAATCTTTCATGTCTTCTAACTTACTGCCTGAAAACGATTTAACTGCTACGTTGTAATCCTCATTAGAAAGTTCCCAACCATGGACATGCTGAATTATGGAGTCGCCAGCAATTATTACTGATCGTTTGGTTTTCTCCTTTCTGTTCTGAGAGTTTAGCTCTGTTGCGTTGGAGCGGTCTACTATGTAAATGTGTTTATTACTTCGAAGTAGGTTTGCGTTCCCTGTCTCATTAATGACTTCTTTTGTTACACTCTGCATGCGACTGGTCAATAGAACTCACTGATTGTCGAGTACTCTCAGTACGTTTGGTAGTGGTTCTAGATTTCCCATGCTGAACTCTATCTTTATAAGAGGGATTAATTGACTCTTGACGTTCATCTTGGATATCAGGTATATCAGCATTCGTGTTGTCTTCAATAAATAGCGGTGAATATCTGTTGGAAATCTCTATTCAAAGCTTCTGGAATAATTCTTAAAAGCGGTTTTCCACTAGGCGAAATTTTTCGATCGAACCGAAATTTCTATTGCTCAAATTCAAAAGATTTCTGTTTAGTTCCATCTGAGTGCTTGTAAGACAAAAGAAAATTTCGATTCGGTCGAAAAATTTCGCCTAAGTGGAAAACCGCCTTTAGATTTAACTTTGTAAAATGCAGAGTTACTGTTACGCCTATATCCTCACAGAGTCATAGGACACAGGTTAAATTCTTTTTGAATGAATTCACATCAATTTATGTTAAAACCCTGTAATCCATGTCCAGATATAACTACCCACCAAAAACGACAAGCAGTTTATTATCAGATCGTTGTGATTTTAAAATATCTCAAAATATATTTTTAGAAATTAAAAAAAAAAAAATTTTGGTCTGTTTGAGAATGTTTGTTGCATGTGTTTGAAGTTAAACAGTGCAGTATACAAACTGAACAGTTGCTTAATTTCGGATATCACGAGGGCTGATTAGTGTAAATGGGCATAACTTCCGCACTGATACGCGACATGCATGTGCAAATATGCTGCAATGCGTATGCGGAAATTCTTAACCCTATCCCACATGTGGTTGCAGTTTCCAATTCATTGTGTAAATACATGCGAAGCTATTTACTTGTCAATTGTAATTTAATTTCGTATTGAAATATGTAACAAGGCCATTAAGTACTAAGTATTCACAATATTGTATTTCTAAATTTACAGGTCTCAGAGGAGTATACTCGCACAATATATTTGTTGGACCAAAAGGGAACGACGAAGATTCGTGTGGAAAATTTTTCTCACCTTGCAAAACTATCAGATTTGCTGTGAGCAATATATCAAAAGATGGGGACACAATACTGATAGATTATGCTGGACAACAGCCGTATAATGAATGTGAAAGTTGTGCACCATCGAAATCGGCCATTACTATAGACAAATCATTATCCATTTTTGGGCACAACGGAACAGCCTTTATTCGATGCCGATATAGATGCATTCTTTTTGAAGTACGAGGGAATGGCATCCGTCGATCACGAATAGAGTTTGCAAATCTCTCATTGTCCATGGCTCAAACGGCAGTTAATTATGTCACCACATCATCCGATCTCGTTTTGAAGAATTGTTGGCTGAAGAAAAATAGAATTGGCATATCTCTACGAAGTTCTCCACATGTTTTGCTGCTCGTGGCCAACAGCGTTTTTCAAGACAATTACGATTGGGGCGTATACTCGAAGAAATGCATCAACATGTCATCTGTATTTGTGTCTTGCAACTTTCTTTCAAGTCTCGTACTACTTGAGACAAACCAAGTCCAACCAATCTCCTGGCAAGAGTTTCGTACGTTCATTTGGAACTGTACTTTTAGAAGCGATAGAAAATACCACGGACGAAGATGCCCAACACTTCTCAGCATGAAAACTGTTTCCATGGCAACCAATATAACAGTACGTAAATCTATATTTTCCAATAGTTCCGGTTTATGTCATGCTTTCTCCATAACTGAAGCCACCAATACTCACAGAGTAACTACATTTATTAGCCTGGATAAGTTACTGGTTGAAAATAATCGAAATGATAGAGCCGTTATGTTCATTAATCCCTTCTACAAGCGGCCGTCTAAGTTCAAAGTAAAAATCATAAACAGTGTCTTCCATAATAATACTGCTCGAACCGTACATGCTGACATAAAACGATGGAGGTTCTACACTTTTCCGCAAAGTGTGTACATTTTGTTCAATAATAACACGTTCGCAAAGAATGGCTACTTTGTTCATCCTCCTCCAGCTTTGTATTCACCAGTTCTTTATTTAAAAAGAGGGAGACATCGGCTATATGGGTGCACCTTTGAGGACAACTACCCACATGGAACTCCAAATTCCGCGGTCGTTGTTCCATCCAATTCAGCAAATATTGTTATTAAAGATTGTCTGTTTTCAAAAACAAACACTACAAAATCCCTTCAAATTTATGCAGCACCAAGTAGCAGAATTGTTTTCAAAGGGATAACCATTTTCACGATAATAGCGACCCTTTCAGATCAAGTAATTATGGAGCACGAAAGCATGGGAAATGCAGGTCAAGTTGAAATAAGAGGCACAGTACATATGATATGCCCCTCTGGTTATCGTTTTAATTTTATGAATCACAATCTTCATGGCCAGATTTTGACATGGCTATACTTTTATGCTTCGTGTGTCCAATGTCCGCGAAAGACCTACTCCATTGAAAAAGGAAGGTTGAAAAACAATATTACTAATGACATCAGTTGTTATAACTGCCCACGAGGTGCTGTGTGTGAGTCTGGACAACTGTATGTAAAGAGAGGATTCTGGGGTAATGAAAATAATAATCATAAAGTCTATTTTAAGTCTTGTCCATTTGGATACTGTTGCGAAGAAGAAACTTGTAACTCGTATAGTTATTGTCATGGTAACAGAACTGGAACGTTATGTGGTAGATGTCCAGAAGGAACCTCAGAACCATTATTTAGTACAGAATGCAGGATAAATGAAGATTGTACCGCCCCTGGATTTTGGATTTTCTTTTCTATTCTTTTAATACTCTACCTTGTATTCTTTTTATTCCATGAAGAAATAACTCGGTTTTTTACGAAAAGTTTTCCATCACGACAAAATTCCAATATTAGAAATTCCACTCAACAATCAGGACCTCAAAATAATTCTTCAAGTGCTAGTGGTTATCTCAAAATATTTTTCTTCTATTACCAAATGGTCCATATTATTTTAGAAAGCATTCCTTCTGGACACCATGCAGGATCCTTGTCTAAATTTAAAAGTTCTGTTTCTCAAGTAATTAACATGGTCATTGTCAATTTTTCCTCCCAAGATTGTCCGTTTAAAAACCTTCGTCCTACCTCAAAGTCAGTGTTTCTTCACTCACTAGGTTTTTGGTTGCTCTTTCTGATATTTCTTATCTATCTTTTGTACACGTTTGTAAGCTGGATTAAGCAAAGGCAGAGAGAAAACGGCGTGATACCATCAAATTTAGAAGATACTAATGATTTGAGAACTCAAAATTCGAACAATCTGTTTCGTATTCGCATTGGTTGCGCATTTACATATGTTTGCCTTTTAATGTATACTTCTTCAGCAGAATTATGTTTTTCTCTCTTAAACTGCGTTCAAGTGGGAAAAGATCGTGTTCTCTTCATTGATGGGACAGTGAAATGCTATCAAACATATCAATATTTCCTCATGGCATATATTGTATTTTCCGTTCTTCCGTTCTGTTTTGTACCAGTTCTCGGGTGTTATCTTTTATTCCTTAAACGAATTTCCCCTCGCCAACTGTATCTTGGCTGCCTTTTTCCTTTGCCGTACTGTTGTTATTGGTCTTATAACCTGATAAAATATTGCAAGGAACCAACTGATATTGAAATAGACGATATCCAACTACTAGAACATTCTAGGGATGATGCCAATCGACAAGCTCTTCTTCGAATTCTTTCTGGGCCTTTCAGAACTCACAAGCGTTTTTTTGGTCTTCCAAATTCAAAAATTCCCTGGGAAGGAGCACTTATTCTGTGCCGATTGATTGTAATTTTATCTTTAACGCTAAGTAGCGACAACCGTGTCCGTGCCTTGATCATGATGGTTATTTGTCTTGTTATGCTTGTATCCCACATGTACATTCGTCCATTTATAAGTGTACATGAGAATTTCCTTGCCACATTATCACTGTGTTCAATCGTCACAGTATGTGCATTATCTCTTCTCAAAGCAGTGTATTATGGTGAAGACTGCTCCTCATTGCCTAATAGTCAATTCTTGCTAATTGCTAGCGATATAGCAATTAATACACTACTGACCATTCCTGTGGCTTTATTGGCTTTTCTTGTCTTCATGGTTTTATTTGTCAAGTTAACATATAAATTGTTTGTCTTGTTGAAATATATGAAGACCGCAATGCATATTAGACTGCGAAATATTATAAACAATGTAAGTTAGGTTTTGTGCTGGAGAACATCATATGCAATTACATGCAGGAACTTTTCACAATGATTATGGTTAGGATTAACGGTTAAGTTTAAAATTAATGTTAGGGTGCGGGTGTACGTGAACTATTCCTGACAACGGACTTATTGACATTTCAAAAGACACGCAGATTTTGGAATTATGTTGTCAAAGATAGATATTATAACACTGTAATTATTGAAAATAGAAAGTAATAGTTTGAGTTTCTAAATGGAAAGTGGCTCAAATGTTAGCTGATACTTCAAACACCTCATTAATAATTCATAAGCTTATTGACAAATCATGTCAACCATAATATGTCACGTGCAGTGGCTTTAAACCTGATAAAACACTCCTAATTAGTATTCTTTATCTATTGTAGTCGTGTCCTCATTAGTATTCTTTATATAAAGAATATACTAATAAGGCAGTATATCTATTGAATTTGTATAGTCGTGTTTGAAGCCGTTTAGTAAACTCGCAGGACGTGTTTTATTAGGTCTAAAGTCACTCGCGCTGCGCGCTCGTGGCTTTAAACCTAATAAAACATTCCTGCTCGTTTATTAAACAGTACAGTAAGAATAGTTCAAACACTCATTAATAATTCATAAGAAATTCATTCTGTTCCGAAATATCACTTACTCGAACCGTCCTGACCGCGTAGCTCAGTTGGAAGAGCATTGGGCTAGTATTCCAAAGGTCGTAGGGCGAATCCCACCGTGGCCGGGCATATTTTTCAAGCTCGCCCGGTGTGGATGTACACTCAGAGTAACACCACAAATATCAATTCATAAGCTTATTGGCAAATCATATCTACCATGTCACGTGCAATGGCTTTAAACCTGATAAAACCAGTGAACTAAAAATACCTGGAACGCTACCTCCAATAGCTTTGGCTTATGATCGGATGAAGCCAAATTTTACCTCCAGCCGCGCGTGTTCTACCTCCAGACACGCGCGTTTGTGTTGCGAGACATTCTCGCGAGACCATTTCGGCAGTGACTTGAATGTTTTTTCTTGGGCGAATGGTTCGAAAATTGTCGTTTATTTAGGGTTTTAAGCTATATTTTTGTATTAGAAGTGCATTTAAAACATATCTTGAACCCTATCGACTAAAATTGCAAGGACGAAAGTAACCGATTGGAGACAACAAGTGCATATTTGAATGACTGGAACGTTTATATGCAGATGACACTTGAGAAAGATAAGTAATTCTTTATCTTATAAACGTATTAAATATGTATTTATAACAACTTCATTGATTGTTAAACAAGACAAGTTTATTTAGTCTGTATCTATCACTTTGTTTGCCTTCGTTGACCACTTTTTCTTTGTATTTCTTGCCGAATGTGAATAATCGCAACATGAAATACTTATTTGCGAAAAAAAACTTTAATGTTTATATTTGTTATTTTGTACTTTTAAAACTTAATAAATACTCTACTACAAAACATAATTAAACTGTGGATGGTAGTTTGAACTTGTTAGAATACCTTTTTCCTAACTTTCAGACGAATAAATTGGAAAACGAACGAGCAAAATAGGGAATTTCACACAAATATTTCACACTTTATATGATTAGACCACGGCAAGCTCCACTCCTCGCTCGACGTTTTTTCTCAAAAAAGAAAATTTAATTACGATTTCTACACAAACAAATTAAAAATATT